TCCAGACATTCACCTCCAAACGTCCACCTCCAGACGTCCACCACTAGACATCTTTTGAACTTTCTAAGATATTTAACTTTTTATGCCTTATTCCTCTCATTGAAATGAATGAAGCAAAAAATATGGCTCCCTCTGCTGGTCACTGGCATTTCAGCCCCTTCAAATTTTTGCAATGTATTCCTCTACAACCCTTTGGCCTGTGGTATAGCTCAGTGGTACAGCCTTTGATTGCAGATCCACAAGCCACAGGAACAGCCTTTTTCTAGTTTATTCTGTTTCTCCATTTAACTAAAGACAGACAGGTCAGAGTTTTTTTATCAACCTTTCTGGTTAAGGAACAAAATGTGTGCTTGTGTGGCTTAAAACTTGCTATGTGTGTCTAGTGGAAGCAAGAAAAGGACAATCTTCAACACACGTAATAAATAAATAAACAAATAAAAGCTGGAAACGACTGATCCAGCCGGTTTATCGACTGAAACAGACACCAAACGACAAGTCGGAATACCGACAAGGGTTTGCCATTTCCTGCTAATAACCAAATACGTCATAACAAAGTCAACTTCTATGTGCTGCTTCAGTGGTAGCAGACACTTACAGGACGCCGTTTTTATTTCAGATATTAGACAGGTTCCCACCTCTACTATACAAAGTTTAAAGAACAGAACGAGACAAAAAAAATAAGAACACACAACGAAACCTGGATTAACTTATTTATTGTTTCTAACGGAGAGCAGCAGGAACAGCTCAGAGCAGATCACAGTGGAGAAACCGGAGCAGGAAACAGCCCTCAGAAGCCATCGGTAGCCCCCCCCCCTAACCGATAACGAACTCAGACTCAAACAACTGAATCTGGAGGCCTAAATTATTCAAAATCCCGAGCGGCTCCTGAGTCCGAGTTTCCTGCCCCGATTTCCATTTGTGTCGAGTTCTTTCCATATCGTAGAAATACAAAAATAAACCAAAATAAAACACAAATATCCGGTCTTCCTTCAGAAGAACCACAGGCCCCCCACCATAGAAACATTAACAGCTATGAATTTAGGGCGGAGTCTGCTCCTGTTGGGTCTTTGAAACTATTTGCAGACGAGAAAAAAAAAAAGACTGAATTCAGTCAATTGTGTATTTACCAACCAAACCCTTTTTATTGTTTTCATCCATAACATTTAAATAACTTGAAGCTAGTTGCGGTACAGCCTGGTGGGGGTGAAGCTGGAGTAAAGTTTGACGCAGACTTCCCGTTTCTGTGCCCGATGCGTCCGGTGGCTTCGGGATCAGAAGTTGATGGCTTTGCCAAAAGACGCGGCCAGGTTGGCTTCTCTGAAGGCCTCCGACACCGTCTGTGGAGGCGGAAACGGGGTTAGCTTAGCTGTGCGGTCTCTGGGGAGTAGGGTTTTCAAAAGTATCCATACTCAAAAAAGTGTCGATACTAAAATGTTGTATCCGGATAAGATACCCTGCGTCCCTTATCTCGATTTATTCATTTATGTACGCCATTTATGATCATTAACGTGACGTTAGCCTTGAATTGCTAGCTGTGGCTAATGGCTAATAACAACACGCTAACATTAATGTGGGCCGCGTTGTATCCGGACACGATACTCATTTTCAAAAGTATTGATACTATCCGCCCCCCCCCCCTTCTCTATGATTTATTTATCTATTTACGTTGTTTATGATCATTAACGTGCCGTTAGCCTTGAATTGCTAGCTGCGGCTAACGGCTAATAACAACACGCTAACATTAATGTGGGCCAAGTTGTATCCGGATACGATACTCATTTTCAAAAGTATTGATACTTCACCCCCCTACCCCCTCTGTGATTTATTTATTCATTTACGCTGTTTATGATCATTAACGTGACGTTAGCCTTGAATTGCTAGCTGCGGCTAATGGCTAATAACAACACGCCAACATTAATGTGGGCCACCGGCCACCATAACATCAGTAATAAGTAAGTTTGAAACCAAAGACACTAACCTGTCAAAATTCAGTTCAATTTCGGGGTCTTTGTTTTTATCCTTGTGGTATCGAAAATGGTATCGAATATTTTGCTGATTATCGATATCGAGTTGAAAATGTTTGTATCGTGACAACCCTACTATGGAGGGATTTCTGCCTAAAAACTAACAAACATTTCACTTAAAAATTAAAAACAGACTCGGCTATGTTAAACAGAAAAAAAACTGAACTAAACTTGTCGTGTTAAACATGTTAAACATGCCATAATGGGAAAGGCTTTGTTGTGCTCCATCACAGAGTGGGACCTCATGATTATTCCAGGAGCTCAGAGGGAGTTATGGACGGTTTAAATCCGTCTGATTTATCGGGACCTCTCCTCCAGGAGGTGCCCGGAGGTGCGTTTGTTTTCGTGTGGAGGCGGGACTTACCGGGTGGGCGTGGCAGACCCGGGCGATGTCCTCACAGGAGGCGCCGTACTCCATGGCCAAGGCCGCCTCGTTTATCATCTCTCCTGCACCCTGAAGGGAGGAGAAGAACAGGGCCGGTCAGAGAAGGACTACTGCACGGTCAGGAGGTTCAGAAGAGGAGGAGGTGGGAGGAGGAGGAGAGGAAAGGCAGTGAGGTGCAGGAAGAAGGGAAGACGATAGGAGGTGAAGGAGGAAGGGAAGGGGAGAAGAGGTAAAGGAGAAAAGGAAGAGGAGAGGAGGAGCAGGAGGAAAGGAAGAGGAGAGGAGGAGCAGGAGGAAG